CACTCAGAGAACAATCACAAGTAACACTATGGCATACGGCAGGACCCAAGTAGGCAGCTACTCCAGCAAAGGACTCACGCGTCCCAGCTCGCTTGCTCTCACGTACTGGCTGCTCGCGGCGCACCAACAGCAAGAGCAGCTGAGAAGATGCTTGGCCATCGTCCCTTATCGAGTCACTAAGTGCCAGCGTCGCAGCAACAAACTCCTCGAGGATGACCGAAAACAAATGAGAAAGAAAAGAGAGCGCGCTACACAGTGCATTGGCACGCTGAACACGGCAAGCGCAATTCTGCCGCAAACAAACGCCGTCACAGCTAGATAGACACGCACTTAATCCAGCCACTGGTCAACATTAAGACAGAGATCTCCTGCAAGAAAGATATCCCCCGCGGTACACACCTGCAACACATTTTAGGTGAATTCCTTGCCAATGCGCCACACGAGAAACGGTGCGTTAGTGGGTTATGGATAGAACCACTGTACACACGCGCCATTTTGCGAAGAGTCACGTATTGTGCTCAAGCAGCCTGCACACGTACGGGCTGCGGAATGAAGTTCATGGCGTACTATAGATGGACGTGATTTGGGCTGAGATGAAACAGGCGAAGAGCGCGATTCACGATAAATTCCTTAATCAAAAATGACGAGGGAAGACACGCTTTTGCGTTTTCCTTCCCTGCCTCATCATGCCAAACAAGCGCGCCATCATATGGTTCTCGCAACACAAAAGGAAAAAGACGTCTCAAATGGTCCATTGTGTGTTCGTCATGCAAATGTTCTATGATTTCGACGCAGCAAGACACTTCGTGTCTCTACAACGTTTCCGCAGCTTGAAGCCTACAAGAGCCAACCGGTTGCTCCACACATGGAACAACTCGAAGCGTCATGAACAAAAACCGTGAATACGTCAATATTAAACAAATGTGCACTTGCAGAACTGCTGCACTGCTTTCTCAACCCCTCCTACTCATCGACCCCTACTCCCTGAAATAGCAAAAAATTCGCTTACCCTGCGTTTCGCTACCTCTCAACGTGTTCGACGTGTGGCTTTGACCGCGGCGCGTGTAAATCAACATCCCCACAAACCAACCACGTCGCGCACCGCACCGCCAATCCTCACCCGGAAACAACCTCCACAAATCCTTGAGATGAAACAATGCACCAGTCGTGCTCCCCCCGCCTTCCAGCTGACCGACTGCGACCCATTCAGCCTGGAAAGTTCAACTGCCTCGCGATGTGACACACAACACATCGCGCCTCATGCAATTGCCCGACCTGTGTATGTAGTCGAACGCCAATGCCCCCTACAAACCCGGCTTCACCGTCAACATGACTTCACAGAAAATATCAACGCACACTTTCGCCAACACCCAAATCACGGCGCCGCCAACTTCCATATCCACAATCGATCCTCCGTAAATGCGCCAGCTGCCAGCCGCAACCCTATGGCTTCAGGCTGACACCGTCGTCACGTGGCGCATGCAAATCTGCCCCCCACCATAATACATAGCGCAATGGACACTGACGTAGCGAACCACCAGCATTTCCAAATCAAGGCGCAACCTTGCGCGGCACTCAGAGAACAATCACAAGTAACACTATGGCATACGGCAGGACCCAAGTAGGCAGCTACTCCAGCAAACACTCACGCGTCCCAGCTCGCTTGCTCTCACGTACTGGCTGCTCGCGGCGCACCAACAGCAAGAGCAGCTGAGATGATGCTTGGCCATCGTCCCTTATCGAGTCATTGAGTGCCAGCCCAGCAGCAACTAACTCCTTCAGCATGACTGAAAGCAAATAAGAAAGAAAAGAGAGAGCGCTACACAGTGCATAGGAAAACTAAACACGGTAAGAGCATTTTTGTTGCAAACCAAGGCCGTCTGTACACACGCGCCACTTTGCGATTCTGTAATGTGTGGAGAGCCCCTTATTGTGCTCAAACACTCTGCACACGTACAGGCTGCGGAATGAAGTTCGTGGGTGCTACAGATGGACGCGACTTGTACTGAGACGAAACAGGCAAAACGCGCGATTCACGATATC